AGACTTCTATGTCTAGCTCAAGTTACACAGGCCATTCCTAAAGGATGTTCAGATACATTTCTTTTCACTACCTCCTACATTATCACAAGCTCTAATTTGTGGCATTTATCAATAACAAGTTACTATATTTATAACCAAGTCATAGACTTGAATTCAGTATCACAGCAGTTTCAGAATCTTCACCACCAATATGTACAACTCCCAGAATCTGTACTTACAAGCTTCACCCTTGCAGATCCACTTGTGTTTGATACCACATCCGTTTCTACTTCAATGCATCTGTAGTCTTCACAGCCACGGCCATCTACCCGAAGATCCTCCTAAACATAAAAACCAACACAGCTTTGTTAAGCAACACCAATCCACCTTTAAAAGAAAAAGCCAAAAAAAATATAAACTTCCACATTTCATCTGAGAGACAGCATTAGTGGATGAAGAAAAAGGATAGTTCAGAGGTTAGCGTACTTGACTTTGCAGGGTTCAATTCCCAATTCTGCTACTAACATCTGTGTGAAATGTAAAATAGAACTGGTACAACTTCCTTTCTACTCTGCACAACTTGTTTTGTCTTGAAACTGTGCATGGGCAGAACAACTCATGTAACAAGTTCTCAGGAGCTCCAACAAGTTTGTCATCACAGAGATCATTGCAGTTCAGGGCCTTAGACTTCAAGGTCAAGGCAGCATGCTTCTTTAATATCTAGCACAACAGTGTTCTGCTCCTCAGAGCCTTCAGCTCATGAAAACTTGTGCTAAATATACTTGAAAGGCAGGGTAGCTAAGCCTGGCTTCCTTTTCATAGTACCTGATAAAGCGCACTTCAACTTGTGCTAAATATATGGGAAAGGGAGGCTAGTTTTGCATCTTGTAGACTCAGCCATGTGTGTGTGTACATGCATGCAGGCACACGTGCAGAATTCTGTGATCCTACAAGGTGCACGGCTACCCTGCCTTTCCCATATATTTAGCACAAGCTTTTGTGAGCTGAACTGCACTTCATCAGTTGCTGTGAAAAGCCTGGCATCCTGAAGTGAGCTTCAGCTCACGAAAGCTTGTGCTAAATAACAGAATTATACAAAATTAGGGTTGGAAGGGACTGTCAGGTCATCTAGTCCAAACAGCTGCTCAAAGCAGGATGATCCCCAACTAGATCATTCCAGCCAGGGCTTTGTTGCACCGGGCCTTAAAAACCTCCAAGGATGAAAATTTCACCACCCCTCTAGGTAACCTGTTCCAGTGCTTCACCAACGCCCTGGTGAAAAAGCTTTTCCTAATATCCAACCTAAATCTCCCTTGTTGAACTTGAGACCACTGCTCCTTGTTCTGTCATCTGCCACCATTGAAAACAGTCTAGCTCGGGGCGGACAATTATTTCGGGGGGAGGGCCAATTACCCAGTTTTGGCAAGCTGTCAAGGGCCACACAGGTAGCCCCGCTCCTTGACAGGTGCCCCGCCCCCTGGTCACCATCTTGGGACCAATGTCCCAATGTCTTGGGACCAATGTCTCAGGGCCAGTGCCGGTGAGGCCCAGAGCAGGGCGCAGGCTGGCAGGGGTCTGTGGAGCCGGATTGGGCTGCACCAGCAGGGAGTGGGGAGCTGGCCTGGCTCCACAGAGCCCCTGCCAGCTGGGACCCTGTACCCCTGCCACCCTGCTCTGGGCCCCGCTCGTGGTGAGCCGTGTGGGCCCCGTGTACCCTCTCACTCCCAGTGCCCCCTAAGCCCCATGGTACAGGCGGGGAGCAGTGTACAGCCCCGACCCCCTGCTCTGCGGCAGGGAATGAGCTGGTGCTGAGTGTGGGGGAAAAGCAGGCCCCCTCCCCTGCCCCCAGGGAGCCGGGCATGGGGCAGGGAAGGGGCTGCTTTTCCTGTGCTCAGCACCAGCTTGTAACCTACCCCTGCTACCAGCTGGGGCCCCACACTGGCTCCAGGCTCACCCGTCGGGGCTGTGCCTTGGTGGCAGAAGCTGCAGCCCCCCCTGCTTGCTGAGCCGGGCAGTGTTTACCACCACTGCCTCTGGGCTGCCTAGTGCAGAAGCTCTGGGCGGGGCAGGCACAGCTGCTGCCACTGTGCACAGCCCCAAAGGGCAAGCCCAGAACTGGCGTGGGACCCAGGCTGGCTGTGGGGGTGGGTTACAAGCTGGTGCTGAGTGCAGCACCAAGGGACAAGAGGTGGGGACAAGAGGCCCCTCCCACACCCTGTGCCTGATGCCCTGCACCACAGCTGTTCACAGCCTGCGTGGGGCTGCCTTTGCCTGCTCAGGACAGCTCTGTGCGGGCTGCAAGCGGCTGCAGCAGGGAGCACTGGCCATGGGGCTGGGGAGGGACCACTTTTCTCCAGGCTCCTTCCCTGCCCTCCCCCACACCCCTTACCTGAGGTTCTGGCCAATGCAGCCACACGGTCCCAGGTCAGAAGCCCCTGCTGGGGCAGGAGCCCGCTGGGCTTCCCCTGGGACCTACTGGCCCTGGTTCCAGTTACTCTTGACATGAACTAAAGACAGATAAATATTAATTTTCTAAATTCTTTAGGAGCCCCATGGGCTGGAAAGAATGGCCTCATGGGCCGGATCCAGGCCATGGGCCATATTTTGTCCATCCCTGGTCTAGCTCCATCCTCTTTGGAACCACCCTTCAAGTAGTTAAAGGCTGCTATAAAATCCCCCCTCAGTCTTCTCTTCTGCAGACTAAATAAACCCAGCTCCCCCAGCTTCTCTTCAAGTCCTGTGCCCCATCCCCCTAACCATTTTCACTGTCCTCCACTGAACTCTCTCCAACTTGTCCATATCCTTTCTGTAGTGGGAAGCCCAAAACCGAACACAATACTCCAGAGGTGACCTCACCAGTGCTGAAGAAGCGAATAATCACTTCCTTCAATCTGCTGGGTAACACCCCTACTACTGCAGACCAGGATGCTGTTAGCCTCCTTGGCAACAAGGACACACCGTTGGCTCATATCTAAATATACATAAAAAGCAGGATAAAATGTATGTTGAGAGCTTTTCACCTTGTAGACTCACGAAACTGGATGCGCACATGCATGCATGTGCATACATACTTTGGTGAGTCTACGAGATGCAGGGTGAGTCACATATATTTCTACTATGCCTGTAATATATTTAGCACAAATCTACCCTGCCTTTCATAAATATTTAACACAAGCTTTCATGAGCTAAAGTGCACTTTATCAGACACTGTGAAAAGTAGAGGTGCACTAATATATCAGCTGCATTTCAGAGTGGCACCGATAAAAGAGAAGTTTACATTATCAGCTATCGGCTTTTTTTGGTCCGGTGCATCTGATAAAGTTCGCTGATAAATATAATAATTATGCCTTCTGGCCAGGGCTCCCTTACGCCACGTGCATATGCATGGCCACACGCATACACATGGCCAGGAATGTGGCCGGGCACCCTGGAGAGCAGCTCCCTGCAAGTAAATCTATGGTGGGCGGGAAGAGCATGGGGGAGGGAGATCAAGGCCCTCATGGTGAGGAAGGGAGTGGGGCAGGAATTAGGGGTGCTGCCCAGCCAGAGCAGTGAATGGGACCTGGGGCAAGGGCAAGACAGAGCTATGGGTGACTTGTCCAAGGGATGTGGGGGGGGAGGGATGGGATGGCTCCCCATCACTGTGCAAGCCCCAGAGAAGGCATTGTGGGGGCATGTGTCCCTCCAGATTTGTGCGTAGGGCGGATGCAGGCTGCCTGTTGTGGGCTCAGGGCTCTCTGCCCTGCTGCCTTTTCCCCAGGAGCCCTACACCTCCTGGCAGCAGTGAGGGTGGCAAATTGTGAGGCCAGCGTGAGGCTCCCAGGCAAAGGCAGCAGAGTGGAGAGCCCCAAGCCTGCAGAGGGCAACCTGCATCCACCCTTGCCCTGCTTGGCTCTGCTCTGGGCTTAAAAAGGGTGGCGGTGACACCCTTTTTTAAAGGGTTTTAAAACTCAAATGAGCTTTAGTTCAAATGCCCCCACCACCATTTTTCAGCACTAGGATGCTGATACCCTGGACAAGCCACTTGCGGCTCTGTCCCACTCCATGCCCCAGGTCCTAGTCACTGATTTGGACGGGCAGTGCCGCAAGCCCCAGCCCCACTCCCTCCTTCACCTTGGGGGCCTTGATCTGCCCCGCTCCTTCCCTTCCCCTCCACAGACTTACCTGCAGGGCACTGCTCTCTAGACCACCCAGCTGTGCTCCTGTAAATTGCTTATTAAATCAGTAACATCCGACATGCCTGGTGAATAATTAACTATCGGTAACAGCTAATAAAGTCTTTATTGGTGCACCCCTAGTGAAAAGCCTGGCTTCCTTTTCATAGCACTTTATGAAGCACACTTCAGCTAATGAAACCTTGTGCTACATAGATGTGAAAGGCAGGGCAGCTTTCACCAAAGCAAGCCTACCTATGCCCACGTGCACACACACAGGTTTGTGAGCCTCCAAGGTGCACAGCCCCCGCGCCCTCCCCCACTACTTAGCGCACCACCGCCCTCCCTCACAAGACAAAGCCCAGGACAGCAGAGAGCAATCCCCTGTGACTAAACCAGTCCGCCCGCGGGGTCTCTTCGCGCCCCTGAAGACCACACAGAGCGAGAGCCGGGAGCGGGCACCTCCATGGGGCTGGGAGGGGGGAAGCGGCGCTCCGGGAGCAGCGAGTAGGAGCTAGTGGGGGAGGGGAGCCCGTTACCTGGATCCCGTGCACGACGTAGACCTTCTCCGCCTCGCTCAGCACCACAGACGCCATGCCTCGCGCCGGCTCGCAAACACTTCCGGCTCACTGCGGATGCCGTCATCAAAACGCAACGAAGCTCCTCGAACACTTGTCAGCCGACGTGGAGCACCGCATCGGGTGTACGTAACTTCCGCCCCGTGACCCGTGGTGGAACGACTGAAGCCCCCTGCGTCACAGGCTCTCCCGCCTCAAGGAACCGTGGGGAGTGAGGGACTAACTCGGCGCATGCACAGGGAAAGTTGAGGATTTGCGCATGCGTATCCGTGTTACTTGGAAAACGTATGCGCTTTAGCCCCCACGTATAGGTGGGGGCTAAGCGCACGGGGCTCCCCTGCCTACCACCGTAATGGCGCATCGTAGTCTCTGGGCGCTAATCCACTGAGTGCATAACATAGAAACCAGTGTGAGAGCGTGCAGTGCTGGCTGGGCAGGCTCAGGGGGCAGTGCAAGATACCACATTTACCCAAAGAGCCCTGTTTACCCTGATCTTAGATCAACACAGCTACCCCCTGCGTCCCTGGCTTCCCTACAGGAATGCAGCTAGGCACAGCAGCACTCAGCTTGTCCCTGTCTCTGGAGGGGGGACAAGAAATGAATCTTAAGCCAGCAGCTTCACCTGCTGCATCTCTTGATGGAGGTGCAGCCTGCACTGAATCACCGTGCGGGTGAGTCACATAGAAGGTGCACACGTGCACACACCCCAGGGACACTGAAAGAACATGGTGATTACAAAGGCAATGCCTCAAAGTGGGGAGATGGCAGGATTTTAACACTGATGCAGGAGATCCTATGGGTCACCTCACTTATGCTTCTCACAGGTCAGATAGTCTAACTGATTTCCTTCTTGGGTGTTTCTTGAGGCCTGGTCAAAGGGACTTGTATTTTGGACATCTAAAGACCTTATATAATGGGGGGGTCCAAGGTGTCTCAAACTGAGGGGACCTAAAAGTAGTAAATAGGTTTGACCTTAATTTCTCTGAGACTTGGTTCCTCAGTGATGGAACTGGGGATAATAATACCCGATAATTTCCTTAAAATAAGTTCATTTAAGCATACCATGCGCTTACATGCCATATGCTACACTATAGCAGCTATAGGAAGCCCTTTCCTTTTTTGCGTCCTAGTGACAAGGTATTTAGCAGAATTCGCAGTTTTGTTGGAATATGACAGGGCTGCGCCATAAGCACTTCTGTTATGGCCTACAGGAAACCCTAGATGGAAATTATAGCTCTGTCTTCAGAGCAGCGCTTGAATTGGGTGTGACAAATCAAACATAGGGATTCAAGCTGAACTAAAAAGAGAAGTGAATAGCTCATCCAATGACCTCTGTCTTTTTGGGTACTTCTGCTTCTCATGTCATGTCTGAGGTTGTTGATGAGAGGTATTTAGCTGAATTTGCATGTTCATTAGAATCTGGCAGGGCTGCAATGTGAGCACCTCTGCTATGGCCAGTCTGCTATTTTGGGCACTGGATGAGGCAGGCAGTCATCTGGAATACATAATATAGAACCATAGAGCAGTAGGGCTGAAAGGGACCTCCAGAGGTCATTTAGTCCAACCCCCCTGCCTGAGGTTCCTATCCAAACCACCCTATACAAACCATAATCTAAACTCTAGGTAAGACTACCATCAACCCTGATGTAATACAGACCCAGCACCCTAACCTGGCACAGAAATGTTCTCAATGTAGATTCAAGAGATTGGGACTAGAGGGCTACAGAGAAAGACAAACTTTCACAGTCCAAACCAACCTGATCATGGGGTAAAATTCCTTCCTGACCGCAAATACGGCGATCAATTTGACCCTGAGCAGAAGAATAAGATGCTCTAGCCAGGAAGCTGTAATTAGAGCTAGTGACTGTCATAATGATACAGGCACCATCGGGCTGCTAAACTGAGCTTCAACAGGTTACCTTCATTTGGAATTTCCTACATTTTGAGCATTTTGACTTTGCAACCCTAACATTCTTTTAACAGGGTTTTTTGAGGGGGACATCATGTATGGGTTTTTTTAATCTTCAAGGAGTAGCATACTGTGGTTAGCATTTTTGTGATACTGTCAAAAGAAGCTTTCTTATCTACTGAGCATAAGCAAAGTGCAGTATTTCAAAGGTTTAGAACTTCAGTGTTGGCAACTCATGATTTTTGGCGTTGCTCTTAAAGTCTATGCTTTGGGGATGTGAAAACCGGGGTGTGTGTGTGTGCATGTGTGTGTGCGTGTGTGTGTGTAAGAAAGAGCTAAGGTTTTTGCATTCCCAAACCCTAGACTTTAACAGCAATGCCAAAAATCATGAGAGTTGGCAACACTGGAACTTGGCCAGCTTTGGGCAGATTTCTCACAGTGGTTTTTCATCTCCTTCCCCCAAATCTGAGCGACAGAGGAGGTTTTAAAGAAAAGGTTGCCAGGTTCTGCATTTTTTTTTAACATGGGCCAAACAGCAATATGTATTGTCCTTCCCTATTGTTCTTAGGAGTTGCTGCTAAGAACCTGGGTGTAGCATGGGGACATCCATGTGCACAAACCCATGTGTGTTTGCACATACGTGTCTTTATTTTTTGTTTCCCAGGAGCACCTAAATGAGTCAGGGATGCTCCTGCCTTTGAGCAAGGGGCTGGACTACATAAACTCAAGTGGTCCCTCCACATGATCTTAAATGCTCCAGTGCAATTGATCAAGACTCCATTCTACTAGACACCATCCAGCCAGAAAAGCCAGCCCCTGCTTGACCGCTATTACAATTTAAATAGAATTTTATCTTGCTCAAGGCCAAATCTGTTCCAAATTCAACAGGGCAAGGCCCAATAGTCAAGTTCCAAAATTCAACTGAGCAGAACTTAATCGGCAAGTCTGTGTGGCTTGACCACAGAGCAAGTATCCTCCCTCCCAGACTCATCCGTCTGGGGCTTTGGATATTCCCAAAATCCAGGCAGGTGTCCTATGTGCAAGCTCCAGGCCCAGAAGCCCCAGGTTCAAATGCCCCCATGTCCCACTTGATCTTAGCCAAAAGGCCAAGAAACAATATTTAAATAAATACAATAGCAGGTAAGGGGGAAATGCAAGAAATAAGCAGGATGGGTCAGGCACATCCATATTTCCTCAGGCCTTGTATTGCTTGTGGGGGAAATCAACAGAGCAGTTAACACGCATCTTCTTGCAGCTTCAGAGCCCTGCTCTGGCCTTGGGGAAGCTCCCAGCTCTCAGTGGACTCTTAGTCCCTCAAGCTGGGGAGGCAGAGACAGCTGGGTGTGATGCTTGGGCAGCTGCATCGGGGCAATGCCTTCCCTGCCATACACAGCTCTGCCACGAGGCTGTCTGCACCTGAGCCCAGGTGAGGCCTTGCTGCTGTGGCATCCAGGCAAACAGGTCCACAGAGGACAGGAGGACATGGCTCCGGCCATGATGCAAATGTGGTCTCCTTATTCCTGGTCCCTTGTTCCCGGTTCCTTTCTCAAAGCTAATCTTTGTGCACTTAAAGGTCGGGAGTAATGAATTCAGTGTGCTCAAGAGTTTGAATTTTCTCCCAAAATGTCTGTTGACTAATTGAAATGTAAAATAATATTAAGAACATAGGCCTGAATGAGGAGCTGAGAGGAGGCCGTGGGGCATGTAAAAGAAGATCACCTATGTCCCGTGGCCTCCTTTTAGCTCCTCATTCAGGCCGACATACTTGATACTATTTTACATTGTGATTGATTTGTCAATAGACACTTGGATGCAATTCCAGCTCTCGAGCGGATTGAATTCATCGCTCCGGACCTCTAGCTGCGTAAAGATGAGCCTGGGAACAGGGACTGGGAGTAAGAGACTGGGAGCAGCATTGCCAGGTTTTAAATATGACTGTATTGTAAGCTCAGAATTACTGCATTTGCTGAACAATTATGCAAACAAGTCTTTTTCTTATTTACTTTGCATTGCTCATTTAAGTGGCCAGGGAGGGAGCGGAGAAGTGGATCATCTAAAGCTGAAGCATTTCATTTCTCCCCCTACCGCCCGGCAAACAGCCATATAAAAAAAAAAAAAAAGG